TCCAAGACATAGGAAATGGTTAAAGAATTAGTAAATGCTAGCAGTGTGGAGTGTGGGAAATGTTGTTGGCGATTAGATTAATGTATTTAAAATACTAAAATGCAATGGAAAGTGATGACAACATGTCCACGACGTAGGAAGTAGTAAAGTTTAGAATCGCAAAGTGTGGGAACCATTTGTGGCAGTTAGATTAATGTATCTGTAATACTTAAATGCTATGAGAAGGGAAGGAAACAATGACGTAGGAAATGGTGAAGGAAGTAGTAAAGGCTGGCATCGCAGAGTGGGGGGAATGATTTTCCCCGAGCAAAGCTCGGTCTCCAGGTACTTAGTTTATAAACAGTAAAAGAGAGTATTCAAATTGAAAACTATAGAAACTGTATTTCCGAAGCAGGAATTAAGTATTTTCAAATATTATTAACGGTAGCCTATCCTAAATAAATACAGTGATTTGCTGGGCTTGCACACTAAAGTCCAGTTGCGACTACAATAAATAAATAATTACCTAGGATTTTATAGAAGTCCACTTTAACTAAGGCGTGTAAATAATTGGTTAGGCTTGTTCAGTTACGATTACGATGCGTAGGCCTAATGCCTAGACTGCTAGGCCTATACAGAAGTTCAGTTATAGCTATTTATTATAATTAAATATTTAACGAAACTTGTTATCTTGTGTTGTCCAATTTATAACTTATAAGTGTGGAAATAATTTTCTCTGTGCAGATATACAGACACAGTTACAATTACACATGCCAATGTTGTAAATATATGTTCAGTAATTTATGTCTGTTTGTTTAAATGTATATATTTTTTATTTGAAAGTCTGACGCCATCAATCCCTTTTGGGTAAAAGATGAAGATAATAAGGTAATGATTACAAAAAGTAGAGCCTAGACTGCTTGGTCTGTATGGGAGTCCAGTTATAAATTAAGCGTGATATAATATTCTTATTTTTTCCGTAATACTATAAGGTGAATTATTACAGCTAACAGAACAGCATGTTGGCATTTTTATGTCAGGTTGAAAATTTAGTACAACCCAATAAATAGGCTTTTACATCAACACAGTGCAGGTTCTCAAATTAAATTGCCATAGCCTAATATAAAAACGTCTTTTATATTTGATTTTAATACTTACTTGAATACTTACTTACTTACTTGCTAATTATTATAATTACTATGGTATTGCTATATATAGTCACCTTCTTCTGTCATTCTGTTCGCTGAGCAAAGTTTACTAATTGGCTAAATATTTTAGTTGGAGAAAATGAGAAGGAAGCCTATAGGCCTATTACATAAATGGGAGCTAAACAAACATTAGGATATTGACAAAATAATACTTATCTTCATGATATTACAAACACACAGTTTTACTATTACCGTAGACTAACCTATTACTCATATATACAAGTAAAAATCAATGACCTAATAGAAACAGCTGACTGGATTCATATTTTCAACTCTTCCAACCAACCACGAGAATTCAATTGGATTGTTGTTATGATGACGTCATCATGTATTCAATTTGAATCATGAAAACAAATTAAAGTTATTTGTTTATATAAGCTTGCTTACTCCGCTCAATTGGCGGACCTGAGGCCGCATGCCTAGTTTAATTGAAACAGCTGTTAAGATTCATTAATTCCATTTCTCATAAGGTTAACATGGGAAACTCCAGAGCCACTGGGGCGGAGCCCGTTTAAGAATTTCGAAACGGGAAATAGTTTACGTCCGTTTCGCATACCTACAGAATTTACACACCAAATTTCATAACGATCGGTGAAGTCGTTCCGGAGGAGTTTGCAGACAAACACTGTGACACGAGAATTTTATATATTAGATATGAAACTTAAAAGGGCCCCAGTGCCTCACTCTCTAATTATTTCCCTAAAAAGAAAGTTTCCTGCACAACTTCACGTTACGCTCTTTCCAATGACACCAAAAACATGTCAATCGGTTCAGTAGTTTCGGAGGAGTAATTGTCACAAAAAACCTGCTTGCGTATTAAATAAGTACTAGTGAACCTGTGCGGCTCAATGCCCCGCAAAATAAGATAGGTATTTAGAAAACAAATTCATCGGGTTATACAGGGTGATTGATATAAGTGTGCCACCCGTTTTATTCGAAAACTATAAGAGATATCAGAAAAAGTTAAATGGTAAGTGCCTTGGATTTTTTATTTAAAAAATTTTAGTCAAGTCAAAAAAATTATTTTAGCCGCCATTTTTCCAATATGGCCGCCAACTTTGATTTTTATTATGGAACACCCTGTATTTTATGATGTATTCTGGTAGAAAATGTAATTTTAAGACGATTTTATTCTTGTGATTTTCTTCATAAACCTAACCGTTTCAAAGATAATAATGGTTAAAGTTTTGAAATTTCTGCATGAGAAAGAGTTTCGATAAAGGCCTAAGCAAGCATGCCAGCTGTTTTATTCGAAAACCATTCAAAATTTTACAACTTAAACCATTATTATCTTTGAAACGGTTAGGTTTAGGAAAAAAAATACAAGAATAAAATCGTCTTAAAATTACATTTTCTACCAGAATACATCATAAAATACAGGGTGTTCCATAAGAAAAATCAAAGTTGGCTGCCATATTGGAAAAATGGCGGCTAAAATAATTTTTTCGACTTTACTACAATTTTTTTAATAAAAAGTCCAAGGCACTTACCATTTAACTTTTTTTGATATCTCTTATGGTTTTCGAATAAAACGGCTGGCACACTTATATCAATCACCCTGTATATTGACTCGTCGTCGAAAATGAAATACAGTAATAATAAAGCCTTAGAAGGGAAGCAGTCCAGCCATTTTCTAGCTGTATGTGTATTATATTTATAAAATTAGCCTAATAAGTGTTCAAGTTGAAGTATGTTATAGGCAGCGAGTAAGGTTATAGGGTAGATATTTTTAAAGATTTTAAAAACACATTTAACAAAACATTTTATTATATCAAACCAATAGGCCTATGTAGCATATTTCATAAAAATGCTGCTTGAAGAAAACACACTATTAAAATAAAAATGAACACTAAAAAAACAATATTTTTATCACGAAAGCACTTCCTTGAATACTATGATTTTAGTCCTAAAGTTACCTTCAGGAAGATTACCCTGGTGAGAGTTTTCCGTAACGAATACGCGTATCCTATTAAAAGATGTAGCCTTACATTAAAACAACATATAATCATTGACTATATATACCTACAGTATATACTACCTATACTACTACCTATAGGTATATATGTCAATGATACAATATAGTTGCTCGTGACTTAAATTGGTCTGGGTATAACCAAAAGTACTCTCCAGTAGAACCAAAAGTGCCCTTTAATTAAAGTGGTTGTGCTGCAAATGCCAAAGATAACAGAAATTAGCATCTTCCCATTTTAAAAGGTAAGTTTGTTTCAGACGGGCACATTTTTATCCTCCAAATAAATATATGTCCCCACTCACTTGTTCCAGTTAAGACTTTACATTCTATTAAGTTGTCAACCGTTCTGATCACATGAAGCCTTGTGCCATTAATGAGGCCCTTTTTGATGTATTAATATTCCTCATCAATAAAACCACTGCCCCCTTTTATTAGTATAATCTGTGTCTTGCTTGGCAATCCACAAACCTCTATATTTAAAAACTCAGTTGGATTTTCTAGATGGGTGTCTCCGCCTTCGTCTGTTTTCGAGGACCCAGTCTTCTTCCCCTTGGCATACATAACAATTAATTACCTGACTTTTCAAGTTCATGTAGTAATTCATTAATACTGTTAGTTTATAAAGAAAATGAGATAAAAGTTACTTGGCTTGGTGCTTTCATAACTGCAAACTCAAAATACACCCACAAGTAAAAAAGAATCAAGTTATTGGTTAAAAAAAAAAACTATTTTTGTGTAATAATATTATTCACATGAAGAAGGTGATTTGTTTGATTTGTCGATCAGCTGTTTAGTTTCAAATCAATTAATAATGTCAAAGATTTGTGATTTAAATACATAAATTATTATAGTAAAGTTTTCTAATTCATGGTAACTTATTCTCAACTAAATTTTAACATTCCCAGCATTAAAATAAAGTAAGTTAGTAAGATCCATTATGGGTAAACTTTAAGGTACTCAATCCTTGATTGAAATGTAGTATACATTAAGAGTCATAATACACAGCAATTATTATGTAGTAGACTTTGACTATTTTCAAGTAACAAACATATGTTTCTGTAAATAAAAATTATCTCCATGTTATCCTTATGGAGAAATATGAAACTTTAAAGGGCCCCAGGGCCTCACTCTCAAATTATTTCGATAAAAAGAAAGTTTCCTGCACAACTTCACGTTACGCTCTTTCCAATGACACCAAAAACATGTCAATCGGTTCAGTAGTTTCGGAGGAGTAATTGTCACAAAAATCCTGCTTGCGTATTAAATAAGTACTAGTGGTCGTCCTGTGGTCGAAACTCGTACAGACTTCTCTATTTTCTCCCCACACTGTAAATAACACATGTGATTTGAATTTCTTCCATTTGTTTTGATTTTCTGTTTACATTTTGTTGTTATTTCGTCACCATCATGGCAACCCATATGCTCCATGTTAATTTGTTGAAGTTTTCAAATTAATTTTTTGTGCTTATTTGTTAGCCTATTTTAATTTTTAGAGGCATTCTGCACATCTACAGGAAAATATCTTTCCAACAGTATGCGTAGATTTTCTCTGCGATGCACACGACCTGAGAAAAAAGGTTTTAAAGAAACATGCTTGCCTATTAATATATAGATAGATAGATAGAAGATAGATATAGATATAGATAGATAGATATAGATAGACTTTAAAAAATTAGGAACATCAATCTCCTTAAAACCAAATCACCACAAATCCTTCAACCACTCAAAAGTCACAATACAATAAATCATTAATAAAAACACAAACATCAGCTGTTATAAACTTTAGAATATTGTTATGCCTTATCAATAGTGTTTCATCAGAATATATAAAAAAAACAACATTTAATTTCATATAATTTTATTCATTTCAGTACATCAATACAGAAATAGCGATCTATACTATATAAAGTTGGAAATGATTAATTTACCAAATATCGAAATATAAGAAGGTTTCAATTCAACTGACTTATACGATCCCCGCCCATAGATAGAACAGGCACCCTGCTAGTTAAATATCAAGATATCTCTTTTCACCCAAGACAAGGTCCATTAGTGGAAGTAGGCTAATCATTTTAACAAACATAATAAACAGTTTTGTTTTTTACCAGGCAGAAGTACAAACAAATATTAAAAATTTAAGAAAACATCTTTATAAAAATAATAAAATTTTCTTAATTAAATAATCTAAATGAGAAAAAATTTAAATAAAAGTATACTGGTATTCAAAATAAATATTAAACTAATCATTATAATGAATCTAAACTGATTTGTCTTCACTTCTTCAGCCTTCTCTCCCCCAACCTCCATGCCTCCATTGCCATCCACCCTGTCATCAGGCCTGGAATATAACAGAACAAAAATTAATACAGTCTAACCTTGATATAACGAACCTCAATATAACGAATTCCTTAATAAAACAAATTTTTTTTAATCCCCTAGAACTCTCCATTAGACACAATGTATATTTTACCTCTACATAACGAACAAACCATAACAACGACAACGATTTTGATGAAATTTGGCACAAACGTGTAAACCTACGATTATTTGAACGAGTTCGCGATCCAGCATGATCGGACCATGGGAACGGGGGTTTACGGGGGGTTTTATGGGGTAAAAATAGGTTTTTCCCATTTTTGACCCAAAAAACATAAAAATTAGCAATTTCTTTCCAAACCATTTTGTAGAGCTTAAAAAAACAAATAACTTAGTATATTGAAGCGTTATTATGCGCCTTATGGTTACGGAGGAAATTCCAAAAAATTGTAAATTTAAAATTCCCATGTTATTCTTATGGAGAATAAGTAAACTGTTGTAGTTTGCTTGTTTATGAACATATTTTTATCAAATTTGGAAAATGTTTTTATTTTTTACTAACTATTAACGTTTTACAAAAAAACAGTTTTACCCTCCCTGATGCAGCAAACCTAAGTACTTGTTAAACTAATTCTATTTAAATCGGGAATAAATGTTATATTTGTAAGTAGACATTTCAGTGTAAATCAAATCAGTCAAATGGAAATTCGCTTAGTCTGCAGGTTTGCTGCAGTGGGGGTATTTTATTGTTGTTTTTAAATTGAAATATTTGTATATCAGCTTAGAATTAGGAAATTTAACGTCATCAAACAATGTTTATGTCGAGGGTAGGTTAAGTTAAGAGGAACTTGGTTGAAAATATACATATCATGACCATGAAACGCTCATAAAAAGTAATTCATTGAATAGAATGTGAAATTTACAGAAAGTGTCAAAAGTTATAATATAGATAGGTAGTAGCTACCTCTGGATTAGAAAACATCATAACTAATCTATGGGTAGTAATATGAAATTAGGATTTAAAAATTTGTGAAAAGGCAAATGGTGTAAACAATATTTCTCTCAAAATGGCAAAAATATACATGTTTGTCAATTATCTCCTTGAGAAAAAGTTTCAATTTTTAAGGTGTGTACCCTACTCTTAACACATGTTAATTGTTCAAAAATTTTAAAATGATTCAAGTAAATGTGAACTTTATAATTTCACTATTTTTTACACCAAAATCTTTCAATACAATTATTCACATTAGCGAAATTTTTAATAATTAATTAGGGTTAGATACAACAACAGATATACAATCTCACTTATTTCATAAAATCAATAATCAATGAACCATCAAATATAAGAATAAATAAACATGTCACATTTTATTTATATTCGTTACAGACAGTTAATGAATCTAATCAAAAGAATAGTCCCTGCTCGTATTGATTCATTGTACTTGTTTCCTGCCGATGAAATAACCAATATTTATACAATCAATATTCAAAAGTAGGCCTAAAAAGCAGATATTCTGATAATGTCTTTGAATATTAGCTTTGTATTCTACAAGCAGAAAGACAACAATTAACGTGCGGGAGACTACCTGACTGAGGGTAGAACGAAACTTGTTCGCAAACGGGACTCCTTCCCAGGTACCTCACCCCACAGCCAAAAATTTGTTTGCAAACGGGACTGTTCGCAAACGGGACGACACCATTCCCACCACCCTCCAACACTCACTCACTTGACAGGGTGGCAAAGAAAACCGTCGAATAATTTTGTTTGTCAAACGCCCTGAATGACCTTTTTTATTTCTTAAGATAACAAATTGACCTGGTGGGCAACGTTTTATGTCAAATGATGAGGTCATCACTGAAAAAGAAGAGTATTTTGAAGGCTTTTCATGTTTGTAGGGTGCTATTTATTTGGACAGCATTTGAAGGAGGTTTTGCGGAACTTTAAGATAAGTGTATAGAGCTAAATAAAAGGAGATTATAACAAAATAAATCAAATTTATCACAAAAAATTGTGTTATTATATATTTTTCTAAGGTCTTATTGAACCACGCTCGTACTAAATACCTTATTGATGTATGAGAATTTTTCTACTTGTTTCAACTGCTTCTGTTGACAGGGCTTTTCCATTTGTCTTAAAATTATTGCTGTTTCAGTACTAACCAAATGTAAACACAATGACATATTCAAAATAATTATAATTACTGTATGGTGTAAAAAAATATAGCCTACATTTCCTAAAAAACAAAAGCAAATTTTTGGGCACCTCTCCAGTTAAAATGCTGGTTAACACATTCGCTGCGGCACGTCAAAGGGCGGGCGTAACCCAGTGCGGCGCAGCCCTCAGCGTCGAACAAACCCGATTGCCGCGAGTGATTGGCTTTCCAATTTCGGTCTGAAGAATAGCAAAGAACGTGCGGCGATGTCCTGCTTTACAAGAGTCGACGTAGTTCGTTAAACACCCACAGATAGCAGCACTGCTTGGAACGTAATACATAAAAAAGTCCAAACACGACTAAACACAAGCGCAAACTTACATAAAAACAAACGCGAACTTAAAAATCCGCAAAAAATCGCAGCACGCCCGAACTAAGGAGTGGCGGCAAAAACAGATTTCTATTGTGTTTACAGACCACGCTCAGCAAGTAGTAACGTTCACCGTCAAACACTAGACTCATACTGGCTGCTTTTGTTCGGCCAATTAATTCAAAAATTCCGCCGCGAGTGCCACCAACCGGAGCGGCGGATCTGCAAGCGGCGGTAATGACGTAATACTCAATATGTCCCCCAAGGGCTGACAGAGTTTCAATTCCCTAGTTTGAAAACGGGGACAACTGTAACACCATTTGCTTAACCTTACACAAGGACGTCTTAGGACGTCCTCCGCTATTTCTTAATAGGGTTGAGGACGTCTTAAGACGTCTTAAGCGGGCAATGTGTTAAATACTAGTAATTCAGGAGGGTTATGCGACATAGGCTTCGGGGCAATGGACACGGCCCTGGATTTATAAGTATTAAATTTAAGTAAATGGCAAAACTTACCATAAGTTAGTTTTCTTCAATCTTAGTCTTACTGGCCCCATCCTCCATCTCCTCTTCCTCTGACACCTCTCCCCTGTATCCTCCAGTGTCGGAGGATATTAATTACAACACCCCCATTTTACTGGTAGGCTTCAGCTCTGTACAGAAATATTGCAAAAAAATAGTGTTATACAAATAATTTTAGTCTAACAAATAATACAAGTGTGTACACTCCTTTCTATATTTGCGATATTCAAATAGGTACACAGCTAATAGGAAAATGTTTGAGCAAATCTGGGTCAAGTTAGTACAAAATATTAGAATTTGTAACAATAATTTGGTTTAGACAAAATAAATTGCTTCAAATATTAATTCATTGTTATTTCCCAATTTGCAAAAATGCAAGCTATAGCCTAATTATAAGTAATTTCCAAACAACATGTTTCGAGATGTAATCCAAATAAATTTTAAGTAGGGGCCTGGATTTAAATTGTTATAAAAAACTATAAATTTGCATACAGATTATATATTATCCTCATGTTCCACCAAAAACTATAGTAACTAGTGGGCGAAGTGGCACTTTGCTACACATGAGAGAAATGTTTAAACGCACGAGCCGTAGGCGAGTGTGGAAAGTATCTCGAGTGCAGCAAAGGCAGTTTGCACTTGTGTTAGAAATTATATTTTTCTTACAGTTATTATAAAACATATAAATAATTAGTCTTTCAAACTCTGTTCAACACGTTTATAGGTTAGGTTAAATCCAAACATTGGTGAAATGGTAAGCTGTACCAGTTGATCGTAGTCGTAATATCTTGAATGGGTAGCCAACTTATTTTCAAGTGTACGTATGTATTATACGTGTCTAATAAAACCACGCTGTTTTGTGTTGTTTGGTTGGAATACAGGAGTGCGGCAAAAAAAGAACGCGGTAAAAGTAAGTAAATGCAGCAATTAGCAACTTTCTGTGCTATAATAAGTGCAAGGAAGGCCACTTTGTCAGGTGAAAGTTGGAAAAATAATTCACATGCGCTTCATTTTGAAAACTTTGAATGACTGACTTAAACAACCTTTTTATTATTACTGTTATCATGTTAAAATGTGTAATTTTGCACACAGGCCGCCTAGTTATTAGTTTATAACGAATGTGATAACTGTATACACACATTTTTTGTCCTAGGACGCTACAGGCACTAGTCCGGAATTTTAATTCACATTTCACACTTCAGCCTAGGTCTAGGGCTGTGGTGTTCACAAAAAAATAATAATAAAAATAATAAATAAAATCCATTGGTCATCTGGATCTGGCAGGATTTGAGCCCGGTACTGAAGTTCTGCTCGCTCCCCTAGGGTAAAGAATTTAGTCAATTGTAGGCATTAGGCAGGCCTATAAAATACGTAGAGGAGGCTATGACTTAGAGCATTGGAACGCCGATAAATATGATCAGCCATTAATATTAATCGGGGCCAATTGATGTGACGTCAATAGGCCTATGAGCAAAGACAGAATCATATTTATTAAATAAAGTTGTCACTTCCAATTGCTTGGTGTTGAAAACAATCAGCTGTAGGCTTAAATTACTTCACCCACAGTTCATTCCACTTGTTAATGTAATCCACTCTACCTTGACTATTCAAACATTTTGAGCGGTGATTTATTCCGTTTCAGTAGGCTAATATTCATCTGCAGTGAAAAATAGTGGTCTTTGGATTCAGTACGTAAAAATCTACGCAGAGGATACGGGTCCGGCAACCGGACCCTAACTGTCATAACCTAACCTAACCAACCAAACTTGCTGATAATGAAAAAAATCGAATGAAGGTTAAATTCTGTCCATAAAATAAATTTATAAACGCAAAAAATTCAAACAAAAGATATTGTACAGTTAAGAATAAACCCACCCAAATATGGACAGTAGGCCTAGGACATAAAAATGTTCTTTCCATGATAGATAACCCAACCTAACATAACTTAACCGCCGCAAAGCGCTGTACAGCGCTCCTCCAATAATACTCCTCCAAACACAAGCCTACACAACAAACACAAGTCCTTTGGTGAGCCTCCGGATAATACTTACCAAAATACCGATTTGGACTTTGAATTACTTAGTTAACAAACAGCCTAGAATCTATCCCAAAGGGGAAAGAATATTGACTCACCTCACTTAAGTTATGGTTAGACCAAGGAACATTATCACAGCAGTATGGTAATTGCCTCCAGGGTACACAACTCTGGTCTCTCTTTCTCTCTCATCTGCAGTGATATCGATGGCAATGTCGTCCAGAACAGTTAGTCCTCTTAACTTATTGGTTCAAGACAATATTTAAAACAGAGACCAATTTGGGTTCAGGTTAAATTACAGCCTTTGCTCCAGGATCATCTATAAAACTAACAATGAAGTCATCAGCAATGAATGAATATAATCCAAGTCTAGTCTTACACCAAATACAAACAGCTCTAGAATATTTGACAGCACTTAAGTTTACGTCCTACACTCATTCCAATGAATGTATTTCTTTAATAGGCCTACTTTCTTTCTTATTACTTGGCGACCATACAAAGTAGGTATTTTAAGCCAAGTATGAATGGAGATGAGTGTAGGATGAGTGGAGCGATCTTGTAGTCTTGTTAGTGACTAAGACTGACATTCCTTAGACACAGCTGTTAATTAATAGCCCAAACAGCTAATGGCAACTAAGGGACATACAGTTTATAGTGGAATCCGAACCACATTAAGTTATTGCCTTGGTATAGGCCTATAAGTACGAATTGGTCTAATTATCAGGATAGTACTGGGGAGAGTCGTAGTAAGTACTCACTCGTGCGGACGTTAATCCACACCAGGGAGTGTCGAATCCACAGTGCATGCCTATAAATATCCACAATTCGTGACCTCCTAGTAGCTGGATTACAGGACGACGCCACCCGTCCCAGTCATGTTGATTATTTCATTTGATAAACTTAGGCCTAGGCCTATATCAAGTTTGGTTAGTTAGGGTAAAACCTAACCTAACTAAAGGAATGAAATATTCAAAATACGGGTAGAGTTTGTTAGCTGGGCTATGCTAATAAGTATAGATTGAAACTATCGATTCGATTAGTAAACCTTCATGCGATATAAGTGCAGCCAAATATTTTTACATAACTTAAACAAATTCTTAAAGTTGACACTGGGTCAGTGGGAAAGAGACGGGTACAGCTTCTTAACTGGGCTATGCTAATATCGATTGAAACTATCGAATTGAAAATAGAGATTGATTAATAATCGATATTTGTTAATATATTTATTATCAAATTAAACTATCTTAACCTAACCAACCAAACTTGCTGATGGTGAAAAAATCGCATGAAGGTTTTACCCCTAGGGGGTACAGTTTCTTAACTGGGCTACGCTAATATTGATTGAAACTATCGATTCGATTAGTAAACCTTCATGCGATTTTTTCACCATCAGCAAGTTTGGTTGGTTAGGTTAAGATAGTTTAATTTGATAATAAATATATTAACAAATATCGATTATTAATCAATCTCTATTTTCAATTCGATAGTTTCAATCGATATTAGCATAGCCCAGTTAAGAAACTGTACCCAAAGAGGCTATCCTATAGCCTAGGGAGAGTACAGTTTCTTAACTGGGCTACGCTAATATTGATTGAAACTATCGAATTGAAAATATTGATTAATAATCGACATTTAAAAATATATCTATTATAAAATTAATCTATCATAACCTAACCTAACCAACCAAACTTGCTGATGGTGAAAAAATCGCATGAAGGTTTACTAATCGAATCGATAGTTTCAATCAATATTAGCGTAGCCCAGTTAAGAAACTGTACCCCCTAGGGGTAAATGCCTATTCAAACATTTGCTACAATATTGCTTGATGATCCAGAATTAGCCTACGAAAAAGCTGTATCTTAGGTTCTTGTTGGTGACTTACCTAAGTTAGTGTCTGGTAGGACTAATGTTATTAAGTTATCATGTTGATTAAGTTTTTTATCCTATAAAAATTAACTTATTTCACATTATTCCTTAAAAACTATAGTTTGTAACACTCGAGTCATCTATTTTCTTGTAAACAAGGAAAGAAATAAACAAGATAAATATTTACAACATAAAAGTTCTTAGTCAATAAAATGTAGAAATGTCCGTCGGAAATCGGAATTCGGAATCAAATATTGCGACTCGTGAGTTGAGGAACTGAACGATGAATTAGAACAACTCCTTTTCAAGAGTAGCTCCGAAGAACGGGTGCTTGTCGATATACTGGGACTATTTCAGTGTCGACAAAATGAAACTATTTCATTGTCGACAATATGGGATGTCGACAATTTGTGGTGTCGATCATTTGCGACGTCGGTTATTTGGGATGTCGGTTAAGTGGGAATATTCCAGTGTCGACAAACTGGGAATAATTCAGTTTCGATCAATTTCTACGGTTGTCGATATTATGGAACCCACCCCTTCAAGCGTGACGTTATAGTGAAGGTGCGGTTCCCATATTTCACCATGGAGCCCATTCAAATTCAAATTCAAAATTCAAATTGTTTATTTGGCCATTAAACATTACATAATAGACTATGTCAATACATAATTCAATAAAATAAAAATAAAACCATCATCAGATATTGGTTAACAATAAAATCAAACCATGCTTAAGTCAAATGCAGACAAAATAAAAAGTAAAATAAATCAGATTAAAACCATGCACATTTGGAGGAAAAAATCAAATACCCGGCCGCAGCAAACCTGCAGACTAAGCGAATTTCCATATGTCTGATTGGATCTACACTAAAATGTCTACTTAAAAATTTAAAATTTATTTCCTATTTAAATAGAATTATTTTAACAGGTTCTTAGGTTTGCTGCATCAGGGAGGGTAAAACTTTTTTTGTAAAATGTTAATAGTTAGTAAGAAATAAAAACATTTTCCAAATTTGATCAAAATATGTTCATAAACAAGCAAACTACAACAGTTTACTCATTCTCCATAAGAATAACATGGGAATTTAAAATTTACATTTTTTTGGAATTTTCTCCGTAACCATTAGGCGCATAGTAACACTTTAATATACTAAATTATTTGTTTTTTTAAGCTCTACAAAATGGTTTGAAAAGATTTTGCAAAATTTTATTTTTTTTGGGTCAAAAATGGGAAAAACCTATTTTTACCCAATAAAACCCCCCGTAAACCCCCGTTCCAATAGTCCGATCATGCTGGTTCGCGAACTCGTTCGAGTTTATCCCGCCTTACACCTTCAAACCAAATTTTATCAAAATCTGACAAAAATTACTCAAGTGATCGTGCGGATGGACACACACACACACACACACACACACACACACACACACATATATATATATATAAATTTAAACGAATGGTGTTTTTGGCCTCTGGGGACATCAAAATGAAAAAGTAAATCGGTCCCGGGCCTAGGTCTTACCATGAGACCTACGGTAATAGCTACTTCCCTATAGGGAAATTCGCTAAAAGCAGTTAAAAAAAGCACACACCATGCATTACCGTGCACGAGCCTTGCCGTAACTCGACCCCAAAAGGGGTTAGTAATCTTTTTCAAGAAGAGATGGAGGAGGGACCTCCTGGGGAGGGACAGATTACAGAACCATGAGCCTACAGTATCAATGGATAGATTTACGATACATTTTTGTTGGTTAGTTATCTGAAATTTGGATTAATACAACATGCGAAGAATATCCATACAATAACACACCTAGTTATAATTTGAATGTTATTTATTTTATTTCATACGGAAACACCATTATTACAATAATATACATTGGCAGATTGCACCTTTCCTTTTCTGACTCCAGAAGAGGGCAGCCAGGGTGGTCTTTGGTATGAAAATAAGAACATGTTGCAGGTAATACTTTACTTCAACACAAATGTTTACACTTCCCTCAATCCCTCAAAATACATTTTGGAAACTTTGACTCTAATGAAAATGACCCTACACCAATATCAATCTTCACCTACATTCCTATTCACTACGTATTAACACAATTCTCATCTTAAATTGTCATCTAACTCAGCCACTTCCATTGCGGCACTAAAATTTCTCCTCCCTCCCTCCCTTTAGCTGGAGCCGGACTTGAAAATCAAACAAAAAAATACTCTTGGCCAAAGGTTAAGGTGTTCTTTCTTATAGAACACAATCACATCAGTGTTCGTGATTGAGGTCACAAATTGTGGATATTTATAGGCATGCACTGTGGATAAGATACTTCTCAAACTCCCTGGTGTGGTTAGGGTAGTTGGATTTACGTCCGCACTATAAAATATAGTACTATGACTCTTATAGTACTATGACTATCCGCATTGCCATCCTGATATTTACACCAATTCGTTAGTTACAGGGCAGTCGGGTAAATGTGTTTCGGATTCCCCTATAGACTGTGTAGGTTCCTTATTAGTTTCCATTGACTGTATGGGCTATTAATTAACATCTATGTCTAAGGAATATGTCGGACCTATAGTCACTCCACTAAGAAAACTACAAGATCGCACCACTCATCCTATACACTCATCTCCATTCATACTTGACTTAAAATACCTACTTTGTATGGTCGCAATTTCATTGAAAAGTATTAAGTATTACAAGAATAAGATCGTTCCAGTTCCACTCATCCTACACTCATCTCCGTTCATACTTGGCTTAAAATACCGATACCCCGATATAATTTTGTGTTTTAATTGCCTTTTGCTTTTGCATTAATTTACTTTCTAACTGTCCTTTAACCATGAGCTTCAAAAATTACTCCCTCTAGAACAACCTCCATAATGTTTTTCGCCAAAAACTGCTTTTTTAAATAATTTATTTTACAATGGCATGCTGTTTGAAGTGAACGTGGACAAATAAATTTGGCAAAAGGAGTTAAGACTCTCTTCTTTTGTTACGCTGTTGTTACAATGTGGAAAACTTTTTAAGATGTCTGCAGTGGTAAACTATCACATAATAATCTTCAGTACAGTATTAAGATTTTACCATAGACTAACCAAAACATGATTTTACTGATAACAACCTACAACATGTTGTTTTAATTAGTGAGTCGGTGGCTCAGTCGGTAGCGTCACGGACTTACCCTAAATAGACTGTCCAGGAGTATGTTTTATCTATGCCAATACCATCCTGTTAAGATACTTCAAATTAATTCGCTAAAAACGTGTTAACATGGTAAAAATTGCAACTTAACTTTTTTAACTAAAAGCAATTGACTTCTTACGACGGTACTACCAACCAAGGCTCATTTTTACTATAGATTATAAATACTTGTACTTTCTCCCCTACCCTATACATAGTATGAAATGGATAAAATTAATGTTTGAAATCCAGTGCCATTTTGCTATCTCCAGCCAGATAACCTACAAGCACAGCACCAAGCACAAGCTCATTTCACAATTCAAAATTCACTCACATTGGATTGGATTGGATAGGAGGACTGAGGAGGACTGTCCAGGCGAGGATCGAGAGGATCTAATGCTTTGTTTACATACAAATTCAAAACAAAAAGACACGTGATTCCGTATTAGTGATGGGCGATACGGACGCGTATCGCGATACAGCGATACGATACGCATCGGAAAAAAATATCGTATCGCCGTATCGAATCGGGCGTCTGTATCGCGATACGCGAATCGTATCGTCAAAAATATCGAAAAACGATACGTATCGTATCGTTTCCCCCCCTCCCCTACCTAACCTAGAAACGGCAATGTATATAAGTACCTGGGGACCAAGCTTTGCTCGGGGAAAATCATTAGTTTACTCTGAAAACAGTTTTAGTATTGCAGATACATTAATCCATTTCCACACTCCACACTGCTCGCCTTTACTACTTCCTTTACAACTCCTTACGTCTTGGACCTGTTTCCCTATCCTTCCCATAGCATTTTAGGATTGGAGATACATTAATGTAATTGCCACAGACAGTTCCCACACTCTGCACTGCTAGTGCTAGATAGCACGCTAGTGGAAATGGACTGGACTGGGATGGGACTGGTACATTATCAAGTAAAAACCAAAAATACAGACGTCAAAAACTCCTATTTCAAACTACACATCCACAGAGTACAGATTTTGAAGTTTGCTCGGCCTGCGCAAAAAAGCATAAAAATATCGTTTTGACATGAATCGTATCGCTCTATGTGCCGATATAAATACAAATATCGTTTTAGGCGATACGATACGTATCGTTTTTCAAATATCGTATCGAAATATCGTATCGTCCCTCGCGTATCGCGATATTCCGATACGATACGATACGTATCGCACATCACTATTCCGTATTCCGTGCCCCCGTGGTAATTTAACTTTAGTACCTTGTCCTCGGTTTTTGTTTGTTAATATTGTCCAATTTTTCTATTTTTGAGGTAGGTTGTATTGTTTTGATGATTTTTATACTGTGGCTGTTGTAGGTTCCATTGTTTTGTTTTTGTACTCAGTAGGTACGTGTGAGCTTCAAGACAAGTTCATGTTGATTATAGTTTTCACACGCGTGTTTATTAGCTAAGATTGCACCATACTAACGTTACTGAACATTTTCCATTTAAGTTTGATTCTAATTTAGTTTTAGTGGTACAGGAGTCTTAAGTGGCGAGTTATTTGGTGTTAAGCTTATAATTATTTGAAAGTAAGTGGTTCTCACTGCCTTGAACTGAAGGCTAGGTATTGGTTTGTCAATTTGTATCTTATAGGCCCTAAGTTCAATTGGTCGTCCACCACTCATTAACTTAAATAACACCACATCTAAAAGACTCCCTTAAACGCATGCACCTAGTGAAAATGGTCCATTGTTTAGACAGTAGAAGCCTGAAGATGTAGCCTATTGCGCAGGCCTAAGTTACTTTTAACATAAAAAAACATTTTAATTTTGGTTTGATTCTGAATTATTTCGTATAATTAGATGTACTTAACTTACAAGATTTATTTAAGTGAAAAGTTAACTTGTCATGTTTTTAAGACAAACTAGGTAACTTACTATGCTATAAGTATACAAATAGTTTCTGTTATGACAGGAAGGAATTTCTCCCCTCGAATACTGAGTGTTTTCTACAAAACTTTGAATAACTGAGTTTTTCAAGTTGTGCCTTCTGCTTGGACTTTAACACGTTCACTACCTACTGCAATAACTTAGTACGAAATTTTTCATTCACATGGACCAGCGACGCACATAGGCCTATGCGACGGCCGGTTTCCACCCATAGACTGCCGTCGCATATTTGCGTCAGGGTTCTAATGTTATTAAAATGCTTGGTCTATTTGAAGGCACTAAATTCCCTGCTGTGGTCTACAGAGATATCTGTCGCACAACTGCGTTGTGCATGGTCCAAGTGACAACCGGTCTATGTGTAAGATTCAAATTTGTATACCTTGGTCTGTGGTGATGACTGCGGTGTTAAAATACTTAGAGTGTATCAAAATGCATGGTAAAACTTTGAAATAAGTTAGCGCAATGAAGAGATTCTCTACAGACAGCTTTATTTTGAATTATTTTTATTTATACAGGTCTAGAAACATTTGTAAAGAATCAACTAAACAGTCATAGGCCTTACTAACTAACAACAAATAAGTTAGGTTAAATAACAATGCAACAATTATTAGACAACCAAAGAAAAATTAAAAAGTAATAAAATAGGCCTATCATTAAACTCACCAAAAAATAGGGTAACTTACTTTGGTATTACTTGGAGGCAACCTATTTTGAGAGATTTTTTACCGGAGGCCAATAATAACAACATAATTGGAAAGAACATACTTTAACACATTCGCTGCGAGAATCCCTTTGGCGGGACGGTTGGAAATGTGACGGAGCCTCGGCGCGCCAGTGATTCAGCAAACGCAATAGCATCAAAATATTTCTGCTTGACAGCGGCAAAATAGCAGTGGTAATGGTGCTGTGTTAACCCGTGAGTGGTCGTAGTTCACTGAAAAACTCACAGATAGCAGCACTGCCTGGATCCGTAGCCAATGTCTTTGTAATGTGGCTCGAAGAGAGAAAATCCCTGAAAACAAGACTTTTACGGGAAATTTCACTACCAACCTAAACCCAACCTACACCAAATTAAAGTATATAGGACCAGCACAACATGCTGACATAGTTTTGTTGATACCCGATAAATGCGGAGCTCACAGTAGACCAACTTGTATAACACAGCACCGTGACTCCGACCGGAGTCCTACGTACGCTGTGCCAGTAAGGCATGACTCCGATCGGAGTCGTCAGCAGCGAATGTGTTAATTGACTGACTGTAGGTATACAGCCCGCTGCTACGGTTTTGTCAGGTTGGGTTATCATTAATAGGCGACCTGACCTTGGCCTAACCTACCTGAAGGCGATTTGATGTGCAAAAGAATGACTCATCTGGCAACATTCAATTCATAACGAAACAAGGAAAGTATATACACATTTGTGTCTGTTAGCACAGTAACTGGTGAAATTTTGCACAAACTTGTTTCAAACATAAGTGTTTTTTAACAAACAAGTGTATTAAAACAAGTTCCAGAACCAGCTTAATAGAACCATTGGATTGAGGTTAAAATAGGTTTTGTATTGTTTTTGACCCTCTAAACAGAGAATTTTCCAATTTCTTTGTTAAAATGCTTTGTAGAGCTTAAAAACAAATTATTGAGCGAAGCGAGCGAAGCTCTTATACGTTGACTCTTATGCATTTCGTAATACGCAAACTCCTCCTAGACGGCTGAATCAATCGTTTTCAAATTTTGCATGGTGATAAAGACCATATCGGTGAGTGCCAACATCTATATGGCGTTAAAAAAGTCTCTCAGGAATCCGCCCCACTGGGTCTCAAAGATTCAATGTAATCCTTATGGAAGCAGTATTTGACACATAAACAAAAACATATGATCAGCTGTTTTTGAATGCAGTAAATAAAGAGATAGCATTATTCCACAGATATTAGAACAGAAACGGTATGGATCATAAATATAATCAAATGACTACACTAGCTTGAGGTCCGTGACGTAGGAAGTGGTGAAGGAAGTAGTAAAGGTTAGCAGTCTGGAGTGTGGAAACTGTTTATGACGATTAGATTAAGGTATATGCATTCCTAAAATTCTATGGGAAGGGATGAAAACAGGTCCACGACGTAGGAAGTGGTGAAGGAAGTAGTCAATGAGAGCTGTCCGGAGTGTGGGAAAGGTTTATGACGATTAGATTGAGGCATCTGCAATCCTAAAATGCTATTGGAAAGGAAGGAAACAGGTCCGCGATGTAGGGAGTGGTGAAGGAAGTAGTAAAGGCGAGCTGTTCGGGGCGTGGGATCTGTATATGACCATTAGATTAAGGTATCTGCAAATCTATGATGCTATGGGAAGGGAGGGAAACAGGGAAGGGGGGGTGGGTAACTGTAGGAAGTGGTGAAGGAAGTAGTAAAGGCAAGCAGTTCGGACTGGACTGTGGAAACTGTTTGTGACGATTAAATTAAGGTATCTGCAATCCTAAAATGCTATGGGAAGGGAGGGAACCAGGTCCGCGACGTAGGAAGTGGTGAAGGAAGTAGTCAAGGCGAGCTTTCCGGAGTGTGGAAACTGTTTATGACGATTAGATTAAGGCATCTGCAATCCTGAAATGCTATGGGAAGGGATGAAAACAGGTCCCGTGACGTAGGAAGTGGTGAAGAAAGTAGTAAAGGCGAGCTATCTGGAGTGTGGGAACTGTTTATGACGATTAGATCAAGGCATCTGCAATCCTAAAATGCTATGGAAAGAGAGGGAAACAGGTCCGTGACGTAGGAGGTAGTGAAGGAAGTAGTAAAGGCGAGCAGTCTGGAGTATGGAAACTTTTTATGACGATTAGATTAAGGTATCTGCAATCCTAAAATTCTATGGGAAGGGAGGGAAACAGGTCCGTGACGTAGGAAGTGGTGAAGGAAGTAGTAAAGGCAAGCAGTCCGGAGTGTGGGAACTGTTTATGACGGGTATATTAAGAGATCTGCAATCCTAAAATGCTATGGGAAGGGAGGAAAACAGGTCCGAGACGTAGGAAGTGGTGAAGGAAGTAGTCGAGGCGAGCTGTCCGGAGTGTGGGAAATGTTTATGACGATTAGATTAAGGTACCGTTAACTGGAAACCGTTTGTAGCATTTAGATTAATGTATCTGCAAAGCTAAAATGCCATGAGAAGGGATGGAAGCATGCCCACGACATAGGAAATGGTGAAAGAAGTAGTAAAGGCTAGCAGTGCAGAGTGTGGGGAATGTTTGTGGTAATTAGATTAACGTATCTAAAATACTAAAATGACATGGAAAGTGATGAAAACAGGTCCACGACGTAGGAAGTGGCTTAGGAAATAGTAAAGTATGAGCATAGTGTGAGAATCGTCTGTGGCAGTTAGATTAATGTATCTTCAATCCTAAAATGCTATGAGAAGACAAGGAAATAGGCCCCACGACGGAGGACGTGGTGAAGGAAGTATTAAAGGTTGGCAGTGCAGAGTGGGGGAACCGTGTGGGCAGTTAGATAAATGTATCTGTATTCTTAATGTTATGAGAAGGGAAGGAAACAGGTCTATGACGTAGGAAATGGTGAAGCAATTAGTAAGGCTAGCAGTGCAGAGTGTGGGAACCGTCTTTGGCAATTACATGCAATTGATGTATCTGCAATCCTAAAATGCAATGGGAAGAGAGGGAAACAGGTCCACGACGTAGGGGGTGGTGAAGGAAGTAGTAAAGGTGAGCAATGTTGAGTGTGGGAATTTATTAATGTACGGTATGTGCAATACAAAATGCTATGGGAAGATACTGTAGACTTTGTAGGTTAAAATGATTACTAAGCTCGAATCGATACATATTTTAGATACATGCAATCGTTTACAATTGAAATTTACAACTGAGTTGACAACAACTGATTTTTACTCCATAGAGGCTAAAAACGATTTTTACTCCCTAAAGAATAAAAATGCTACTTTAGACCCGCAACGCATGCATTAAAAACTACTGTTTTTACTGCAGACTGACAAAAACAATATAATATGAACCATTGATGACTCCGCTCAATTTTGTGGATGCCTCTGCGAACGCCACCTAGTTAAAAATATTGAAGTAATTTTGTAAAATTGATAGCTGCAGAAAAAAATTCTAAAAAATTTAAATTTAAATTCCCATGTTAACTTCTTAGAGAATAGGCAATAAGTAAGTTGTTGTAGTTTCCTTGTCTATGGACACATTTTATTATAAATTATTGATGTTTAACTTAGACCTACAGTTTTAGACTAGGGGTTTTTCCGACATTAACCACATTTAGTGTATACTTATTGTAAGATATGTATAATACCGGTAGATGTGTTGTTGGTCTCGTAGGGACCACAGAGAATTGGGGGTCCTGGTGGCACTGGTCATGTTTTACTATTATTAAAATATGAAAACATTTTTACACCACCATTAGAAAGAAGATGAGATTCTGAGGATTCATTTTCATTTATAAAACATAATTGAGCGAGTGTTATGTAGCAAGAAACATAGGTTGTAACAATAGAGAGTTCATAATATATTTTGGCGGTGGAAAGTTTTCATCACCTGGCCACCAAAACACCTGTTTTTGGCGAGTCGACAATTGTTTACAATATTATTACAAATTCTGAAACTACAATACATTCCCTACAATTTATATAACTCCGAATCTGAGGTTAGTTGAACAAATTTTATGTAACTTAGTTTTAAAAATGCCTTAAAAATTGTGTTTTTGTAAAAAAATTCAAAATTTTACATTCTGGCGTCAATTACTCAGAAACTTTATAATTCAACTTAACATAACTATAAATTTTCAGAAAGAATTTTTTTTCTATTAGCCTATTCTGTATCATGTATATTTACTGTTGTATTCAATTTATTTCTTATATATAGGGCTATGACAACAACAATTTTGTAGGCTAATTAAAAAAATGTAGATATTAAAAATAATTTCATTTTTATGAGTATTTCAAAAACATCTACCGGTACATTGGGAATCATATTTCACACAACCTTTACATTTAGAACAAATATGAAAAAAATTATTTTGTGGTTTTCTTGTGGGTTGCTTTTGAAATTTCTAACTTGCCTAATCTGAAAATTTGCAAACATTTTGCTACTACGCCTGAACCCATTGCTAGGAACAATTATTTTCATATCATCATACTCTACATTTATCACTGAAACAGAAAATATATATATGTGTGTACTTATATTTCACAAATAACTGTTCTGTGGCAAAATATATGGTACCACTACAAAAGGGCCAAAGTATACCCGCTACTGGTGAGTAAAATGACCGCCAAATCTAGGGCTAAATCAATTTATTTTTTCTGTTATGCAACTTTCTGTTAACCAAAACCAGAGTTTGTTTGGAAAAGTGTTTAAACAATAGCAAATTGTGAACGGTCTCTCTCTCAAGATCTCCCAGGACTAGGTTTACCCCTCCCTCACCGATTCTGGCTAAAGAGCTCGTGCGTTTCCTGGTGAAGCCTGGGGGTAGTATTGAAGCCCGTAGGAAACCGGTTCTAAACCACTCTGGCCCCACTGTCCGTTTGTGTTATCAGTGTCGGCATTACTCTGAAAATAACTGTCCATAAAAGAAAGTTCCTGACTCCAGGAAACTTCTCGGAAAGGCATAACAACTCCAAAAAGAGTGCACCACTCAAGCACTGCTCTGAAGGATTGTGCACTACCCCAAATATGTGTTTCAGAGCCACGTATTTTGGAGTTGAGCCTTTCTGAGCAATACTCGGATCTTTGTGCATAGTAATCACGTCTTGCTAAGAACCACAATGCCACTGCAAGTTAAATCGTTGGTTGAAACTAAAGCTCTGTAATTATATTATAGTGTCTGTTTAACCAATTGGTAGTTAGGCGCTTTTGAGAAATTTTTTTTAAATATCTCCGGTCATGTGAGTAACTTAGGTCTAAAAAAAACTTGTTCATTAAAAAATCTGAGGTCTGAAAGTAGGTTTCGGCCGTAGCATTGTAGCCCAACTTCCTCATCCACTTAATTTCTACTTTGTAAGAGTATACACTTGATTGAAAAATAACATGCACAAGCCAAATTGCGTTTTTTTCTCCGCATCGCTAGAAGCACGGACAGAGTATGGATTACAGGTCTAATTCTGGTGTGGTGTGGATGCTAAACAATTGAAAGACCTATATCAAAAACAATGTTTGCAAATTGTTTTCAGTGTTTTTAGATTTGTTTGTTACCATTGTTCAAGATGCTTCACACTTTAAAAAGTCAGTTTACAGACTACATATGCAAACTGTTCTTACTTACTTGTATACTTGTTGTCTTTGCGTTGACCAATGAATATTGGATGGACTGTGCCGGGAAAGAGTTGGAGCTATTTACCGCATTGCCCAAAGATGGGTGTCCCATCTTGTAATTCTCAAAGAGATTAGAGCAGCCTCAACTCTATACTATACTTATAAAAAAATTCTATCGTGAGTGGTGGGGCTTTAAATAATATTTCAACGGTCACAATTTTACTAACTTTAAGACTAATAAAACATAATTTTTTAAATTTTTTGTTTCAGATGAGTAACTCAATGATATCTATACAATGGAAGGAGCATGATGCATCAGTTACTTCCTTTCTTAAAATTTCTTTGGATAGTGATACATTAACAGACCTTACTCTTTCTGCCGATGGCAAAATTATCAGAGCTCATAGAGCAGTTCTCTCTTCATGCAGTCCCTTCTTCAAGGTTTGTAAAATGTGCAGCTAAACAGTACCTGTACGAATATGCTTTTGAAAATGTTATGAAAATATCCTTTAGACAATAGAGAGTAGCCTAATAGAACAAAATTATAATTAACTTCCAAGTTTCTGTGTGTTTGGTTGTTAATTAGTGTTGGTTGTTAGTTAGTGTTAATCTAATCAAATAGCAGACATATACCTTAATCTGACATCAGTTTTAACGAATTTCCCTATCGGGAAGTAGCTATTACCGTAGGTGGCACGGTAAGACCTGAAGCCGGGACCAATATACTTTTTCATTTTAATGTACCGAGAGGCCAAAAACACTATTCGTTCAATTTTTTGTATAGATTTATATTTGATATTGTTCACGTGTAGGGCTACTGTAATTAATATTAATAAATAATACACCATAGTAGGCTATATAGAAATTATAAATGTGAAACAATGTGTCAAAATTAAGTATTTTTTGTGGAGACGCCCCCTTTCACCAATTCCTACAATAAAAGTCCTTGGGCTTCGCCCCTCAGGCCATCAAAATCCCAATGTATTTCTTATGAAGAAAATATTTTGTTTACTTAAACAGACGAATAATTTGTATTAATTACAGCTATTCATGGTTAACACATAATACACACAAGAGCGTTAGTTTTCGGAGTGAGTTTGTTTTCAGTTTCGATAACTGGAGTGGAGTGATTGATTACATTATCTTTAAGTTGACTCTTTTTAGTCATCGTAAATTATGACTGTTATTCGTTTTGAAATAACGCCTGTGATAGTTTGCAATTGCTCGAATTCGAGCAACAGGTGCACTAGTTGTAAAATGTTGGTAAGAGGGAAGTACGGCATAGACAAATATTGAAACATAAAGAAGAAAATAGTAATATAACTTTTTAATTCTGGAAAATAAAATATAATTAATTTAATTATTAGCAACACAAGTAGACTCCTTCAAGTAGACACAAGCTTCAAAATTTACAGTGGGATGCATTGTAAATTTTGAAGCTTGTTTTTCATGTCTAGTTCACGTACGTCCACACTGATCGCTGGAATAGACAAAATTTTGTTTCTATTATTTTAGGGTTATTTTAATGATTTGTGCTTTACTATTTGGTTATATAACTAGGAGAAGTTGGACGTACAGAACTAACAATAAAATTGGCTTCAGCTGTTCCATAAGGATGACAAATCTACTAAAGCTACGTTTCCATTCCTACAAATTTGTGCCGGGCACATGTGCCCGCTGCAAATCTCCGAATTTGTAGGAATGGAAATAGCCTGGCACAAGTGTCCGGCACAAATTTGTGCCTGCCGACTGCGCGACAAAACATGTGCCCGAGTCGCGGGCACATGTGCTCAGTTGGAATGGAAACGGCCGGGCTGCAACTCGCGCATGCGCAGGTCCTCTGAACTCCCGCATGCTCATAGATGACAGGTAATTATAACCTCAGATTTCGTTGAGTTTGTTGGAGGAAACTTTTGAAGCCACTTAGTACGCGCAAATCTCTTGTCAATGAATTAAATGCGCCTTCCAATGGTATTTTAGCAACAACAAAACTTCTTATCCACCGTCTAGGTCGTTTTCGTCTTATTCTTCTAACTTCATTGTATGCATCAGCCATATATTAAAAAGTAGAGGCTGTTATGTCATTCATGGCGATTTGTAGGACACAAAAAATCAGCCACCGAACCTCACTACATGACAATAACAGAGCAACTACCGTGTCTGCCAGTTGTAGTTGCGAAACTTGTGCCTGGAATGGAAACAGCATGATAAACTACGTGCTAAATGTGCCGCGACATGGCTTCGACATGTGCCGCGACTTGTGCGTGCGACTTGTAGTAATGGAAACGTAGCTTAAGGGAGTATATTTTATCTATGGTATGGGTAATAAATTGTGTGCAACACAGCAAGCTTCAATTACAGCAAAGATAAACACAACAAATAATTAATATCAAAACATTGGCATTTTAACCAATCAGAACTATGTTGAGCCTATTCATGAACTAACGAATATTAATATTTAAATAATTTACAGTAGTTGATGTCCTCGACTTAAAGCCCTGACTATTTTTTTTAAGCCCCACTCAAGGATAGTTCACTTGTGTTTTATAATAAATTGAGTTTGATAATTGTTTTACGACAGGTTTTTTTATCACATCTATCCCAGTGCATCGTTGTGAAGAAGCATGATTAAAATTTTGTACTTCTCCAAGTACGGTTAGTTATTAACATTAGTTTTTTTCTTAGAAAATCACTATCAAATATTGTATTAAAATAAATAAGTATAAAATGTAACAAAATTTGCTTATGTAGTCATTTGTATATTTTTTTAATCTTGAAACAAAACAAGGTTTACTTGGGCGGATATTCTCAACCCGTTGTCACTTCCTGAGTCGTGAATGCTTAAGATTGGAGTAGTCTTCTAGTCATAGTAATAAATAGTAATATTCTTAGAAGGTTTGGCTCCAATGTTATTGTCCCGGCGTTTCTACCACCCCAGGAGTATTTCTGGGGGATTATTGGATTTATTGGGTAAAGCACAAGCTGAGGTCAGGTACTTGCTTCCTAAATCCTATTCTCTACAACAAACAATAGGAAGCAGCGTTGGCAGAGTGTCCGTTTCCCGAAAGTCGAAAACTCCTTATCTTGATCACTTGATCCAGACGATTTAGTCATTATTTGATGTGTTAACATTAATATTCCTTGTAATGTTTCAGACAATTCTATCTGAAAATCCATGCCAAGATCCATTTGTCATTCTAAGTGATGTTAAGTTCCCAGTTTTGAAGATGATTGTTGATTTCATGTATCATGGTAAACTCATCTTACATAACAAACAAATACCTGATGTATTGGAGGTAAAGTATGAATTTATTTAATCTGTTGATGCTTATGAATAATTTTCTGAACTCGTAGTAAGGCTAGGATTAACATTGTCATACTATTGTGAAGCAATTTCCTTGGTTAAAATCAATTTTGTTAATTCAAATGCTTAATAACTATTTGTAATCACACTAGATAGCTATTCATCAATATCATTATCACATTATATCCACCAAAATCATAATTTTTCTAAAAAAAAAATAATAAAAAAAAACATAGGCTTAACTTGCATGTATTACACGACCTTCTTTTCCAAATAATCAAAGTCCCATTCCACTCAACAGGAGCATTGAGCGTTTTTCTTTTTCTTTTTTCAATGAAGAGAATTGAAAATTTCAAGTTTGTGGGCTTTTCCCAATTGCTTTGACTACACTACGTTTCAGCAGGTATAAGAAACTCCTCTTGTTTTCAAGAGAGTATGCCTAACTATTAATCTAAATTTACCTAACCACCCTATATAGCCTAATTTACCTAAAGTAAGTCAGTCTTTTTTAGTTTCATTATGTTTTTGTCTACTGTTTTTTAGGTTATCAAATGTAATCAATGTCGAGAGAAAACTTGAAGTAGGTTAGGTTGGATTGGTAACCTTGTGTAGATTAATAGTCACTTGAAAACAGGAAGATTTTCCGTACGTCCCAAAACGTAGTGTAGTAGAAAAAATTGATGCAGGAAAAGTTCATAACCTAAAATTAAAAGTTATAGCCTACTTCGCAATTAATTATGAATTTTAAAAACATAGCATTAGGTACTTGTTCATGCTTTGTGATTTCTCTGCATGTAGGTTCCTTGATTTGTTGTTATTCGTATTCTCAATAATTCTCTGTGTAAAGAGCTCACTTAAAAGTGAACTGTAAAAATATGTTGAGTTAACTTAAAAAAAAATATTAGACAGTGTAAATACAGAGTGTCTTGGAACTCTCTACCAATATTTTAGGGCATTGTTCCTGAGTAAGAAACATATCAAAATATCATATTTAAATTGTCTGAAAGTCCTTAGATACTCACACAACCGCCATTATGTTTGTTCACTTATTTTTCCCTAAAAAGTGGTTAAAGATACAAAAAGAAACTTTGCACAAACATTAATGACAACTAAACAAAGCTGTTAAAAAATTATGAAAAACTTTCAAACTCAAGAAACAAAATGGTGGCTGTTTCTTAAATAACTCAAAAACCGTAGATTTTTATAAATTATTTTTATGTAAAATTATTTATGTATTAAATAAATGTTATTATTATGATTATTTTTTTACCGTTTTATGAATTTGAAAAATGTTTATAATTTTTTTGTAGCTTTGTCTAGTTGTCATAAATGTTAGTGCAAAGTTTAAATTTTGTTGTGTATTATTCCAGCTTCAAGAACGAATGATTAATAAACTAGTTTACGTTGTGGTTGCCAAAGCCAGTTGTCAGTCAAATAGTAACACATGTAGTGCCTCCGGTCCGCGCACGCGTTCGCGCGCTGTGTTCCTATGACTTTACCGTAAATCGTCATCCGACCGAAAATGTAAATATTTGTAAATAGTGTTTGTGTTAAATAGCCTAATGTGACAAACTGTGCTCCTGACGATGCTACACATGTAGCGAAATGTATATCGAGCAAGATATCTACACATTTCAAGAATCTGGCAAGAATCTTGACAAGGTAAACTAGTTTATTAAATTTTGTATCTTTTAACCACTTTTTAAAAAACAATAATTAAGTGAAAAAAACAACATGCCGGCTGTGTGAGTAACTGAGGACTTCTGGACAGTTTAAATATGATATTAAGATATGTTTCTTACTACCGAACAATGCCGTAAAATATTGATAGAGAGTTCCAGGGCACCCTGTATATTGTTTTGTACCCATTTATATAATAAAGTCCAGTAAGTGCAATATACTCTTCATTGTTTTTATAGTTGATTGTGTCAGATTATTTAAAATAGCCTTTCACTGATTTCAATAGCAGGAATAAATTTATTAAAACGAGTTATGACTATGAGTCAAGTTGTTATTTTCCTTAATGTATATAGCTTTTCCTCGGTGTTTTTATATTAAACAAGCTTTTATCTGGAACTGAGGTTAAGGTTTTTGAGAACTTGGGAAGAAGCATTATTGTTTATTTTGATAGAATTTAAACATGTATGAAAATTGCATACTGGTAACTTTTTTGTTTTCTACCCATTAGGTTGCTGAAACACTACATGTTACAAGTCTCATTTATGCAGTTAAGAAAATTAAGAAAAGGTGTGGTCAGCATTCTGAAAAAGAAATGAACAAAAGGCAAGCAGTTACTACTGTCATGTCTCAAAGAAGTACTATGGAGAAAGAGAGTAATTCATCAAAAGAGAATGGGTCAAATAAAACTGGTGTTTCTGATTCAAATAATGATCTCAAAAGCAAGAGTGACCAAGAATCTAAAAGTTCACAGAGAGAGCAGTCCACCTTGAACAGCAAGTCTCAAAGTATGATCACGGACAAAAGAAACAATAATCCTGCAAGTGATAATGAACCCGAAGCAATGAACGTCTTAGTACCAATTATTGTCATGGAGAATGAAAAAGAATCTTTGAATGAAAATCAGCCAATGAATTCAATAAACATAAACTCTGAAAAAGATAGTTCCACGAATGTTGATGAACCAGATTTGATGGATTGTGAAGGTGATAGCTCTGGAAACGAGAGTGATGTTTATTTCATGGAAGAATATAAAAAAATTCAGAAGAACAAGTTCCCTCCTGACTCAGATACAGAGTCTATGAAAAATCTACCCAAAAGGGACTACATCAGACGTAAAGTTGTGAGAGCTGCAATGTTTAACCGTGAACTGGTTGAATCAATCAAGCATGCCGCTGTGGTGGTAAGTCACTTTAAACTTATATTTAATAAGTTAAGTAATAAGTGTAATGCATGTCTCTGCCCATCCTTAATGTACATTACCAAAAATGTGTTTAAAATTTGCAGTGACTTAAATAAAACTATTAACGATAAAATACAAAAAAATAAATGAAAATAAATACAGAAAATAAGTGTACCGGTACCAGGTAAAATATCCCAAGAACTTATAACTGCAGGTAAATAGTATACTTGTTTTCTCGATAAACATTGACACATTTGGCAAGTCTTGTGTGCCAAAGTTTTTCTCTCCACTTGGCTCACTAGTTGCACAAATAACTATTTCTAATACAAGTTAATATAGGTCTAATTCAATTTTTCTTAGCTTCAGATGACTGGTGAGATTCCAATTCAAAGGACTTCAGAAAATGAAGGTAAGTTTTACAAGCTTAATGTGCACAATCCCTTGATCCAGCAACTAGTTGGAAGAAAAACCTATGTGTATTATGTAGTGCATGTAGGAGAATTTTTTTAACATAATCCAACGGTAACTGCAAAAACATTGATTCTACTAAGGTCAATATTGGAATGTAAAGTAGCCCTATGCAGTTCATTTACTTTTGACTTTTGATATTCAAATTAATATAATTTTACCAGTAATTTAAGAATTTATAGCTGTAACAAGTATCCGAACTTACATTGTTCAGTTAAATCTGGCAGAAATTTATTGAATTGTTATGACCTAAAATCTTAAAACTAACTTGTCAACATCAGATGTGATACTAACCTGTAAGGAAGAATATCTGAAAATGTATATGATTTCTCAGCGACCCTTAGACCGAGACCGAGACGTATTATAAGACGGGACAGTTCCATACAGCATAGTACAGACTTCCGCCTGGCCTTGGAAGCAGTGAGATGTGGAGAATTGGGATTCTGTAAGGCAGCTAAAACGTTCAAAGTTAACAACCGTACTTTGTGGTTGGAATACAAAAAGCGAGGATACCCACCGAAAAGACCTCAACCTGAAGGGTTACGGAGGAAACAAGCTGGAGAGCTGGATTACTACAACTGGGATTCAGATTCTTCGTAAGTGCCCAAACCTAGAAATCTCAGAATTGTTTTTTACAATATTATTAAGTTTGCAAAACTGTTACTTCAAGAGGACGTTTTTGTTTTATGAGCTTCTTGTTCATAGATTTGCTAGTGAAACTTTTAGGATTTAGTGAAAACTTGATTATTTTGGAACTTGAGATGGTGTCCAGGATGAAGTATTTTTCAGAAAAGTCACATTTGTTGTCTTAAGTCATGAGCCTAGCCTAATTCCTAAATTAGGCTCATACATTTTAAATTAGGTGTATACATTCTGAAAAAAGTTTGGTCAACTGTCACTCGTATAAAGTTAATTATTAAATAAAAAAGTAAATATTACAATAGTTCAAAGAGAGGCTGTTTTTGGTATGCTGATTCATTGTTTGCTATTGTACTATTGTAGTGCATTACGGATCTACCGGTACCTACTGAGAAAAGTAGACACACAGTATAAAATATATAGGTTTAGTTAGCACTTCGAAAAACTGCTACAAAATAATTTATATTATTCAGAGGTAATTTGACCCATAAAAGTTGTTAGCCTACCATAGCTTTGAACATATGAGTTGATTGTTCATACACACTACACAACATTTTGGGTTGCTCTTTTAAATACCGCATTCAGTTGTCTTACTTTGATCAAATAATTTTTTGTGCTGAGTAATATTTTTAATGTTACTGCATAGGTTAGACTTGTAAGATTACAAATATTCAAGACTTTTTTTAAAGAAACAATATTATCTTGATGGTTTAATTTAATTTTTTGCTTTTTCGGTTATTTCCAGAATGCAGTAAGCCCTATTTATAAAGGTACAAAGAAAGTGCCTTTCAATTTATAGTACGGTACCTTTTCTAGCTAGTTATAACTTGTTCAAAAAGTGTTTTCAATGAATTTTCATATGTATCTAATTTCAGTAAATACAATATATGTAATTTGTATTTTTCTTCAGACATTACTATATTTCACAATCAGCTTGTTGAAGAGTGGAATTGTATTATCATTAATATTTGTTGCAATTAAAATAGTATTGAGTTCAGTATTGTAATAGTATAAGTTATACTCTTCATATTTGTTATCTTTTATACTAGTTGTTATTGTTTAAAGTTAGTTTTTGTATTTAAGACCTTTTTAAAGAAACAATATTATCTTGATGGTTTAATTTAATTTATTGCTTTTTCGGTTATTTCCAGAATGCAGTAAGCCCTAATTATAACGGTACAAAGAAAGTGCCTTTCAATTTATAGTACGGTACCTTTTTTAGCTAGTTATAACTTGTTCAAAAAGCGTTTTCAATGAATTTTCATATGTATCTAATTTCAGTAAATCCATTTAATTTGTATTTTTCTTCAGACATTTTGCTAATACTAAATGTATACATTTACTATATTTCACAATCAGCTTATTGAAGAGTGGAATTGTATTATCATTAATGTTTTTTGCAATTAAAATAGTATTGAGTTCAGTATTGTAATAGTATAAGTTATACTCTACTTATTTGTTATCGTTTATACTAGTTGTTATTGTTTAAAGTTAAGTTTTTGTACATTTTCAATAGATAAGTTTCACAAAATGTTTGTGATATTACATGGATCAATACAGTTTATTCATAATTTTTGGAGTGTGTGTATATTTTATAGCCTAAACTCCATCAACACTCACTGAAGGTTCAAAGTAACTCGTCTAAGGTTTAGGAATATAAATGTATTTGTGAAATGCAAGGTTTTAGAGAGGAAAAACAGACTGTAAATTGATAAAAATATTTATGTACAGAAATATTTACATACATTACATCAGTTGTAAGATTTACACAAATATAACATCATGGGCTGTCAAAACCATTCGTTTTAAGTTTTGGTTTTCTTTTTAGTTTTCCCTTTTTAGCCCCTTCTATCTTGCGTTTCTTTTGCTCCTTCTTCTTCAATTGTTTGCTGATTTTCCGTTTGGCAGCTTTTTCAGGTTCACGGACAGCCTATTACAGAGGTAAACATTAACACTTACACTGTTTGAAGAAAACCTGGAGTCTTAATATGATTCTTGAGACGCCACAATGGTGGTATTTAAATTGCTTGATTAAGTGTTTTAGAATAACATATTTTGGTGGTTTATAGGACAAACTCTAGAAAATACTTAAAATGCATGCTCAGTGGCAAACTATCCTTGTCCTTTTAAGCAAGTAATGTATCAAATGTGTAGTATTATACATACAACTTATGGAGAATTAATTATTTTTTGAATGATAGTTGAAGACTAAAAGCATTTCTCCATCATTACAGGGGTTCACGGCTAAATGATACACGATAAACAATCATTATGGGGGATAAGGTTTCCAGGTTTGTAGTATCAAACAGGCTTCAATTCCAACTGATATAAATGCACTGTCTCATCAAATTATCCTTGAAACACTTTAGTCTGCTAGTTATTATCTTAGTTTGAACTGTTTATAGTAGTTTCCAACACCAGGAAGTTCAAGTGTGGTAAGAGCCTAAATCAGCCATTAGCAATGTGCCTTACATACCAGAAATGATTTAGAGTCACAACATTAAAATTGCCCTTTATAAGCATTACTACTAGCTCCACCGCATTAGAGCATCATCCCACCAAAACACGGAGCAGTGATAACTTGAGTTACAATCTGGGTTTAGCTTGAATTTTGATTGATGTTTCTACAATTAAAAGACTGATAAGAAAATAATTTTAGAAGTCATTACCAGTTGAGCTCTTTCCTTCTTTCGTTCTGCCTTTTGAATTTGCAGTTTTGTCGTCAATGAGTTAAGAAGTCTGTTGTATTCCTCAGATCCGACTTTTTTCTTCACAATGTTGGCGGTTTCCTTTGCTGCCTCTTTCAGAGACTTCTTGTCCTCCTCGTCAGGGATGTGCAGCTCTCGTACGATGGGTGACATTATCAGAGGCAGGTGAGGTTTCCAAGCATCAGAGGCCAACTTGACCACCAACGCTGCCAGCCAATTGTAGCACATGGTGCGCTGAACATTGCAAAATTAAACTTAATACTATAAAAACTACTTTTTTGCAACACTACGTTGAAATGACTTGTTTTCGTTACATGTTTATCACCTACGAAAATTCTTCATTACATTGTTTACCACGGCAAAAGAATGTTTACTATGCGAAAGTAACGTTTACTATCTTTTTTGGAATTTGATGTTCTAGTTTTCAACAACCAAAACTTTTCAACCAAAGGCAATATTAAATGTTATTGACACTAGAACCTGAAAAATGCTATTAGTTTTGTAATGTTCAACAAAATAATTAGTCGTTGTAGTGTAGCGAAAAGTAGATAAATAACGTCTTTATTTATCCAGCGTACATCAGGTACAAAGTTCGGTTTTACATGCAAACTTTTGTCGTATACAAGTAATTCAAATTAAATTAAGAAAATTAAAAAGCAACATTCTTAAAAAAAATTTGTTTTACCCCTGATCTGATGGTAAAGCATTGATAATTCCATGGTACTTTTATTTTTGAATTCTATTTTGATTATTAAATCATGACCAGCACTAACACTTATGCCGAGCAGGCATAACAAAATTCTGCCTTAAAGGGTTGTATATCATTCTTATGAATACTTTTTAATGAAATGGCGACCATACTAAGGTATATATAACAATCTAAAAGGCACGAACTAAATCCTAGCACTAATTCAACAAGATTATTAAAATATAGAAAGTTTTTAAGGTCAAAAATATCATGATATACACCTAAATATAAAAATGACATTAGACTTGTACAACCTTACATTTATGCAAAACAACAGAAAAATACAAATCTATAATTTGTGTACGTACAAATGAAATAACTTACCAGAATTGTGAAGTTCGGTGCATGAACAACCTCTGAGTGTATGACTTTCCTGATTCTTCGTACAAGCCACTGCAATGTTAAGGGTTGAGCTGCATTGTCATTGTGAACATGTTGGACCACTTCAGCCAGAAAAATCAAATTCTTCATTGTCTACAAATAAAAGGAAAACGTTGAAATTGAAGGAGTGATGAGACAAGGCAACAAAGAATATACAGTAGTTGCATGAACTGGGTAGTCTAAAAATAAAATAAAATTTCCTCTGTTAGTTTTTGTTAATTGTTATTATAATAGACAATGAGACATAAAAGATGCACCAGTAGGTATATTTAATCCCATATTAAAACATTTTGTTAAACTGGAACCTGGTAAAACTGAAGCCTTATTAAAAATCTAAATCAGTTGGGAAATAGCTGGTCAATTGGGACTGTTTACTGTGGGGCACAAATGGGTAGGCTCGGCCAACGGAATGTAATGGAGCAGATGATGACACAGATCTCATACCATGATTAAGATGAGGTACAGTCAACCTTCTATAAGACAAATTCCAAGGGGTGGGGGAAAAATTTGTATTATCGAGGTATTCTTAATAAAGAGTTTTGTTTTTTCGAGGTTTAATACTGCTGTTATTCGTCTTATAGAGATTTCTCCTCGTTCTGATATAACGTCTATGAAATAAGATTTTTATGGGCAAACTCTGAATCATTGTTACCGCTACTAAAGCTATTTTTAAATGTATAATTTTTTCAATCATTGTAGGAGAGATGTTAAACTCCTAAGCGATGGTGATTTTCTTCTTCATTGGGTTTTCTTCCATATGCTTCAAAACATTACGCTTAACCTCTACTGTTAGCGCTGTTTTTTACTTTTTCCCTGCCATTACTTTACACTTAAGATACGCACAACTCTAAAACAAGGGAAAACACAAGGGAATGGTTACTGGACACTGCACAGTGCACAGGCACCTGCCAAACAATGACTGAGGAAGGAAGAGGGATGGGTGGGGGTTTCATGTTGAGACAAACTTCTGTTTGTTTTGAAAACTACGTACTATGGAGGTTAAGATCATGAGAAATACGTCTTATAGAGGTCGCATTCGTCTTATACAGGTTTTGTGCTAAAAATGTCTATTCTAAAACTGTCAACAACTAAGACAGAATTGGGATGTCTAGTTCTATCAATAGACAGTGTAATGACCTGCATGAGCAGTTTCTCGTTGAGCTCAATGCCAGGAGTGAACTGAGAGCAGAGGTCCAGTATGAGACTCTTGAGAGTGTTGCGTGTGTCACAGCGAAGGTAGCCGAACCCTCTCTCTTGCTGCGGAGAGTTGGCCAGCTCGGCCACCTGGGTAGGTGTCATCACACTCAACACCTTGCCTATGAACTGAGATGCCGCCAGTCTCACCCACTCGTGAGGATAGGCCAGCAGCGTCTGTGCACCTTCTGCAACATAGGAGAGCAATTATGTCTCGCAACACAATACCACAGTATTCAGTATTGTGACTTGGCTGTTATGCAATTCATGAATTTAAATAAGGTTGCTACAAAGTCTTAAGTTGGGCAAAAATTTATTGTGGAAAAAATGCTTAAGCTTACCAAGAACTGTAGCAAAATTATCACGATGCTGCGGAAGTGTTTGCTAGTATTCGTTTAGATAAAATGAACAAGTTGCTTCTATTCAAAAGGCATTTAATGGCATGATTTAGAGTTAGGCCAAAATATTTTTTTTAAGTACACATGAGTATGATGAGTTATTTTGATCAATAATAATAATATTGGATCAATACATTGTTGCATAAAAATTCATCCATAATTCAGTGTGAAAAGAAATACTTGATATTGTGAGGAATAATAGATGTTTAGTAAGCATTCAACAACAATAGTCTGAACGCAAAACTATTACACATTCTTCTAAGTTACAAGTTATAACTTTTTATCCTAATTTTCTAATTTTATGTAAAAATTAATTTGTTACCTGCTAAAATTTGAGTATTTTTCATATTAGTCTGATCAGTCAACATGGAAGGACATAAAGAACTTAGTTTTACAATCAAATGCAACAATTGGTACAAGTGATGGTCCTTCAGCTGTTCTTTGATATTAAATTTTTCAACATCTGTTTTTGCGTGAGGTTTGAATTCCTTGATTTCAACTTTCATC